AATATTTATCTATAGTCCCTTGTGACATACATTGGCGACAGATTGTTGTTAAAATCTCATTTTGGAATAATCAAAATGATCTAAATATTAGATTTTCCTCCGAATATAAATAAAATGGACCTCCGATTTGGAATTTTGATCCAGAAAAAATCAATGGATAGAGAGATGTAAAATGCCCCTTCAAATTTTTTAATTCTGTGTTCTTCTTACACGGTATTTTTTTTTCTTCTTTTTTTTTTTTGCAAATTATTAGTGAAAGCTTGGAATTCCTTTTCAGGTTCTTTATGCTTTTAAAATCAGTCAAATCTTATCGGTTAATCTAAAAAAATGATTTTCACTGTATTTTCAGGGATATTTTATCAAGATTAGGGATATTTGTTCCATTAACAAAGATTTACTTCAATCTGTTGAGTAAAAAAAAATCAAAGTATTTTTTTACATTCATGGTCCTTTAAATTTTTTAATTCTGTGTTCCTCTTACACGCCATTTCTAGTTTCCCGCGTCTATGGCAACCGCTGATTGTCAGCCATTTTCTTTTCTTTCATTCGTTTTACCTGATCGAAAGGTAAAAAAAAAAAAAAAAAAAAAACACTTTTCTTTTCAGTTGTCGATGGATTGGATTTTTGCATTTGATAGAATTAAAAGAGATTTTTTTAATGCCATTTACCGAAATCTTGGCAACGTTTCTTTTACAAAGGGGCAAAAATTAAACCGAATAATAATTAATGATTCTGCTAAATGACAACATCTGCTGTCAATTTTTTAAAATGTTACGCAACTATTTACCCTCATGTATATGTCGCAAGTATTCGGACATGTAGCAATTTGATGATGCATGAATTGGAAATTGTTGAGGGGATCTCCCCTTTTTACAAAAATGGACTCACCCAGTATATACATATAATACGGCTACGGGAAGACCCGAGAGACGAGAGCAACCGAGGGTGAAGGTAACAGACAGAGAGAACGAACGTAGCGATCAAGTGTAACAGTGAGCGAGCACGTAGACTCAGTAAGAAGTCATACAGCGATACTTCATTACCAAAGACTGTATAGATATTTTGCTACTAACCCGCATTCCTGGAACTACTAACCTGCATTACCAGTTTGTATTATTACGTGAATACATTATTTTCCTATATTCATTCTTGGCGTTTGTTATTTATTGGCACCGGATTTCATCCCGGATTCCACAACAGAAATAATCTCACATGTAGTAAATTCATGGTGCATCTATTGCAATTACTCGCATACAGAACAATTTTATGATGTATTTATCGGTCCTGCTCTTGCATGTAACTTTCACGATGCCTGCATTGGTTGTGATCTCAGATGTAGCAAGTTTAAAAAGCAGGCATCACGATGTCTCCCTCATGTAGGCATTTATTGATACATGTGGTGGAATACAATCACATGTACGAATCTCATCATGTGATCGCATGTACAGGAAATATTCCCACATGTAGCGATTTCATGGCGTGTATATCGGAAACACACACACACATGTAGCAAATTCACGACATATATATCGTTAGTACACACGTAGCGATTTCCTAATTCATGTATTGGCGGTACAGTCACATGTAGTAATTAACTGATGCATGTATAAAGTTTATAAAGCTATTTCTATCCCAGTGGTAATGTGGACATTTTATTTCTTTAAGCGATGCTTCTGATGATTAACTTCATTACAATTGCATCTGCAGTTAGCAATCTTTATTAATTGCTTCCCTAAATAGACCAACTCCCGTAACTCCGACTTTATTTCAGAAGTGAATTATGATTGATTTGACCCTCAGTTGCTCTTCAAAATCAACTTCCACCTGTCTTCAGATTGTCTAATCAATATAAAATAAGGCGAAATCGAAAATATTCGCAGACAGCCAGCATAGTACTAAGTCGTATAACTGAAGAGTAACAGAAAAAAACATCCACGGAATATTGGAAATGATAGTTAGGACACAAAAACACTATGGTGGTTCACAGGGTTTAACTAACATTCATTTTCTTCTACCACGCTATAAAATTTAATGAATGAGTGATGTACATATCACAAGTCTGATATTCTTACGAAATTGTTTCACATTATTCCCAAAGAAAAAATATGGGAAAAAATTATGTCATCGGTACTTTCGATTTGCAAAAGCAAACGTCTTCACATATATTGACCACACTACACTAGCCTGTTCATTCACTCTCTCTCTCTCTCATATATATATATATATATATATATATATATATATAAATGTGTGTGTGTGTTACTCTTTCCTATCTATCATTCTCTTCAAATCTACACATGTCTCTCTCTGTCCCTATCTTTAATTTATCTTTTCGAAAACTTCAGAAAAGCTAACGCTGCTTTATTTCCTTTTATGTGGCAAAATAAAATCCTTATATTTGCCTTGCTAAAATCCACCAGACAATGAAACGTGCCCCAATAAAGGTTATATATATATATATATATATATATATATATATATATATATATATATATATATCTGTGTGTGTGTGTGTATGTATGTGTGTGTGGGAACAGAATAAATCCAAGGGTATTAATAATGTAATGTAGGGGGTAATTGAAATGAGCATTTTTTTATCCAGCTTCATATGTGCATAAGTTGAATTTCCTAAATGCAAGCAAAGACTCAAGATTTCAAGATTTTTTAATATATTTTTTAATTATATATATATATATAATATATATATATTTATATATATATATATATATATGTGTGTGTGTCTGTCTGTGTGCTTACATGAGTGTTTACATGTGTGTATGTGATTCTTTGTATATCTATCTATCTATCTCCGTTTATTCATATCTATCTTGAAAGAGACATCCCGTATATCATTCGGCACGCCATACATCCAATATCGTGACTTGTTCCCACTGATACATAACAGGAAAGACAGTAAATTATCGTCATTCTAAATCTCAGAAGATCGTGTTATTATTTATATTGCCATAAAGCAACATTATTTTAATTTGTTTATTATATTTGACGTATCCTGGAACACATTTATTTGTGAAGATTTTTTTTTTTCTTAAAAGGATGGAATTTTCGTCTCCAAACTAAAGAATATTATTCTATTTTTTATTATTGGTAAATCCCACTGTAGTCAGTATCAGTTTGAATCATTTTTTGAAACATCCTTATAAGATTTATATTCTATAATTATGGCCTGATGTGGCGTTTTCATTCTGATAGTTTGCCGTTATTATTTGACAAGTCAATGCCAAATAGATGATAAAGAAGGTGAACAAATATTCTTCCCTAGGTCGGTCCCCAATGCGATATTCAATTGAAGATTATGCTTATATTGTGAAATCCTATGAAATTACCAAATAGCATTTGTGGCTAATGGTGGCAAGCTATCAGAATAGAATTTTTTAAATTGGTCCACTTGCCAAGTATTTTGGTTTCCACATATAAAAAAATATCCTTATATCAAATTTCGTTTATTTGTTTGTTTGTTTTTTAATAATTTTACTCCAAGCAAGATAATAAAGCCTCTAGGGCGCAAATGATTACTGAATGTTAGCGAATATTAGAAAATAGACTCTTAAGGAGATAGGACAATAAAAAAAAAGCAACAGTTAAAATGACAGAAGATAACGATTGAAATTTCATTTGAATTTTTGAAGATCAAACCTGACTGGGAACAAAGAATACGGAAGAGAGGTCCACAAACGAAAAGTGCAATAGAAGAAATAGTTAGCATAGAACTTACGGTTGGATATAACTTACGGTTACCTCTAGATATTTCAGCTGTAAAATGATGAGCGCTTACGCTAGTCTAGTACTGCACTTAAATTCATAAAATTTGGGTATGAATGCGTGGTGTTTATCAGAACAATTATCATGAAATTATCTATAGAAAAGCCACAGGGAAGCTACGTTACGGTGGTGGGAAAGGGATTGACGGCAACTGGCCAGGTCAGGACCACTAACATTGCAGATTCTTCTTTGGATTTTATCATGAATCTCTAAATATATAGCAGGAGAACCAAACCTGGTGTGACAGCAATATTAAAAGCAAGGAAAAATGGTAGACTTATAGATACGCAAACAAGTTTCTGGTGAATGCAATTGTCTAGTAAGGCAAAATGAACCAACTTACTTAACTGCAGACTTAGTAATTGATTCAATATACTCTTTCAGAACAGCTGTAAATATTAATGCGAAATGATACTCTCTTTCTGGAGGTTAGCATCAGCCATGCTGAACGAACGTAAAAAGCGTACTATAAGATGAGAACTGTTTCATTTTTGTTATTGAAAAGCAACATTCACATCAATTTCGAAATTTATTTATTCCCAAAGAGTACAAAATATGACAAGATCAAGTGTTTATTATGGAAATCACGCGCATCTGCATATTGTTGCTGAGACAAATGTCCAAGTAAATATCGGTTGTTTTCACTTGAAGTTCACTCACCAGCACTGCCGTATAATTGGCATTTCCAAGATCAGACACGTTTTATATTTTGCTTTCTCTTGGACGAAGAGGTGACTAAGTTCATATGCATACGTCTCTCCATCAAGGAAATTATTGCAAGAGATTATGTTTCATACGTGACTTCCCACATATTTTTATGTGTTCTACTTGAGAATGATACTGTCACACTTGCATTCGCAGCAGGTGGAAATGTTTACTACTCATCTTCCACCGTTCATGGAATCGAGAGACATTTATTTCAAAATGGATATCAAGAAACTAGGCACACTTCAAATAAACAATTCGTTTTCTTATTACATAGATTTCTCCCACCCATATTTCGACCTGTATAAAAATATGATAGGCTGGTAAACACGCGTTAATTTGGGATTTGGCCTTGTAATTTGTTTTCGGTAACATCGCCTGGGATAACATGATGCTAGAAACTAAGTGTCCCGAACGGTTTAAGAAATTCAGAGGTGACGCAACCTTCTCGAGGGTAAAAGAAATTATTTTATATTAACAAGAAGAAGCAAACACCAAAGAAAGTAAAAGAAGTATTAGGAAAGACGAGAGAAAAAGAAGGAAAGAAAAATGAAATCAGAATAAAAGAAAAAAGACGAACAAAGAAAGGAATGAAACTCGAATGAAGAAAGAAAGTAAAGACTAAAAGAAGAGCAAAGAAAAGAAAACAAAGGGAAAGTAAAAGTGAAAAAATTAAAGGGGATTAAATAAATAAGGAAGAAAAGTGAAAAGAAAAAAAACAGTGATACCGAAAAAGCTGAAGAAAGAGTAAATGGATAGAAAGAAATTATTGAAAAAAAAGAGATGGAAAAATTAAAAAAAGGAAAAGAAAGGAATAAAAAGAAAGGAAAAAAAGGAAAGATGAAAGAAAGAAAATAGACAATAAAGAATGGAAAGAGAAAATGGGAGGAATTATAGAAAAAAAAAAACGAGAAGAAGAAAAAATGAAAATAAGTAAAAACCTAGGAATGAATAAAGGAAGGCGAAAGAAAAATGAATGAAAACAGATAGAAAAAATTAAAAGTAAAAAAGAAAACATTAAAGTGAAAGAATGAGATAGTAAAGTAGAAAAAAGTGAAAGAAAAGAAGAAAAAAGAAAAAGAGAAATGAAAATAAAGGAAAAATATAAGAAAAGAAATAAATAAAAAAAGACGAAAAACAGAAAAGAACAAGAAAAAAAGAAAAATTGGCTAAAAAACAAGGAAATTAAATAATCCGAAAGGAAAACGAAAAACTGAATAAAAGAAAAAGCAAACATATATATATATATATATAGTGATTTTCCAAGCGTAGCTTAGATGTGGCACAAGGCCGAAAGTAGGGGGGGTACCCAGTGAGGATCGAATTCACTACTCAATCGTAATTGTTCTAGCGAGACAAGCTTGCTAGCCATTACACCACCTCGAGGTGCCCCATATATATATATATATATATATATATATATATATATATATATATATATATGACATATATAAAATATATATATATATATATATATGACACAGAGAGAAAAAATTAAATGAAAAAGTAATGGAAAATAAAAAAATATAAGAAAAGAAAAAAGAAAGAGAAATAAAAATAAAGAAAAAGGAGAGAAGAAAGAACGGAGGAAAGAGAAAGTAAAGTAGAAAAAATATAAAAAAGAAAGAAAAGAAATAAAGGAGAAAGAAAGTGGAAAAATAAGGAAGAGAAAAAACAACATGGGCTAATAAAAGTGAGAAACAAAGGATAAAAGCGAAAAAAGTAAAGAAAAAAAGCAAAGTAATCGGAAAAGAATGGTGCAATAAAAAATAAATAAAAAAAAGCTAAAAAAAACAATAAAAACGTAAAAAAAGAATCGATTTGACAAAATAAATAAAATGCCAAAATATAAAGGACGAATTTTACTCATTCAACGAAAATTTAAGAGGAAAAAACTAAGACGATAAAAATCTCATTAAATTGAAGAATAGTTATAAAAACTGAAGAACTGACAGCCAAACACATTATTGGACAACTCAAGAACATTTGAGGCGCGTACAGAAACCACTTTAAATATTAGACTTTCTTTGTCTCATGAGAGACCGAACAGGATTGTCCGTCTCACTGATTAGGCGGTTTTAAGTATTTAGTAGATTTACCAAGTAAAAATCACATCCACTTAAACATTTCAAGAATTATAAGAACATTTCAATAAAAGACATTTATAGAAATATAGAATACAAGAACTTTAAAACTAATGATCTACTTAATGGCCTATCTTTAAAATCTTCCTCTGTCAGAGAATCTTTTTTTAAGATGATTTTTTTTATTTCATTCCTTTTTCTAAATTTTACTCCCGATTACATCATTCTTATATTCTCCCTGCAAGTGTTTGGGTTCCTTGTGCAATATCGGCAAAATGAATAAAAATAAAAATGGTGAGTCGAAAAAGATCACCTTTATATAGGGAAAAAACATGCGTTTCGTTAATTCTTGTAATAAATAGACAATACCGAATATCAACGTCACAAGCATTATTCTGCTAAGTAATTAAGTGTTTTTTAAACAGAGTGGTTAGTATTAAAATGACTAGGACGGGATTCTTCATTATTATCCCAGTTGTATAAACAGTATGTGTTAAATAACCGAAAGATCAAAGATGAAGTCATGTTCATATTGGAGATCATCTGTGTATGCTGGCTTGCAAATAGTCAAATCGATATTATTTGGCCTTCAATCTTTCATTGATCTAATCTATATAGTAATGTTCACACAATACAAGGTACTTGAGCCACTCAAAGATGCGGCTTACTTTTTAAATTACTAGAAGGGATATGGTAATTTTGTAAGAGTATCATAGATGTGGCACAAACCGAAAGTATGGGGCCCCAAGTGACGATTGAACTTACAATTCAGTTTGCTAACATTTTTGTCATGTTTGAATAAAGATAATAAAATCATGGTCTATAATGTCGCTTGGAGTCGACGTAGTCTGATTGAATTCTGTAGTAAGGATATAAGGCTCGTACCATGTTTGCTCTCTGCTGACGATTCTCAGCGTCATTATATATGCTGTTTGAACGAGTCGAAGTCATATTCTGGAGAGGTGCTGTCATCTTCACAACACTTTATATCACATTGAAGTACTATTAAGCTGTGATATGTATGAAAGAAGAGAACGCAAATTATGCGAAGGATATAAACAATTGAGCCAAGGCAAGATTGTAGTAAAAAAAAAAATGTTTGATAGAACTTATGTTTGGAATACGGAAGAAATGTAGGTGATTCGAATTCTTGGAGGCTTGGCGTGTCCTGAGACCTAATATCTGAATTAGTAAAACAAAAGCTGGAATCTTATTTGCCATGAGAAAAGCGACCGGGAATGCTGCGTATAAATTCAGTCAGATTACGTTGACTTCAAGTGACATTATATATCATGATTGTGTTATGTTCATTCATTGCAATAAATGAAGATAACAAAATATACTATACACTTTCGGTCTTGTCCCACATGTTATCGGATTAGGATTGATATTCCATATTAGGGCGGATCAAAACGATTTTAACAGACATTTAGATGTAAATTTTGTCAAGATTGAAATAATAAAAGGAATTGCAACGGAAAAATGTTTGTTAAATAAGTTGTCAGTCTTTAACAGATTAAAACTGTCATGACAGTTTTTTGTTGTTGTTGTTTTTGGCTCCTCCCAGTGTACGGGTCATGAATCCCTGTCAAGTCTTACGTGGACTACCGTAAAGGAACCGGCAGTTTGAGACATGATTGGCGTTATTGCGCTAAGATATACATAAGTTATAAGAAATTTAATATTGAAGATTAGGAAATTGAACATTGAATAGTCTCCGCTAAATGTCGTCTCTTTCAAAACCGCAAATTGCTAAAAGCCAAAACATTAAGCTAAGAGCTCGAGTCATACGTATGGTAAAAAACACGCTCAGAAAGATCTAAATTGTAGGCTGAATATAACCACTTTTAAAGACTAATGGTTAAAACTGATCAGTCGCCTACTAGAATGTAAATGGATGGTAGAAAAGACAAAGCTTACTAAAAGTTAAAATGGATAGGAAGTTGAGGAGAGTCATGACCACATATGTACTGAAGTGACAGGGAAAGTAGACGAAGAGATACATAATTTAATAACAATAAAACAAGAAGAAAAATAAATATATTCCATCATAAAACCTCTATAAAAAAACAACTCAATCACTTTGTGAATCCTATTTCATCAGAGTTTAGACGAGAAGAAAAATTAAGCATAACAAAAACACACACCTGAGACCAACGACGCAGTAATCATTCATAGCCTAATATCTAATATTTGGCTGTTAGGAATTAATGTAAATTGATCTTCAAATACTGATAAGCGTCCTTGATTATAAAACTGGGCACATTGCTGGATGTTTTTGTATAAACGTTCAGTTATGGCTTCAAGAGTTGTATTCACGAATCTATGCAAAATGTCAGTTTTTTTTTTCATTGAGAATATTGGCTGAGAAGTAGAGACTGATCCTTTTTTCTAGACTTTCATCTATTCCGAAATATTAATCAAACATACAGACACCAACAAAATTGTTCGTACACCTAGTAATTTTGAATATTTTTATCCATATCTCAGAATCTAATGATCGATTTTTATATATTAATAAGCACAAAATAAGAAATATAAAACTCAATTTTCAGAATAATAGTTTAAATACAAAAAATTTGACAAACGAATTATGCAAAATAAAAAGACAAAATTATTCACACAGTATGGAAAATCAAAAAAGTTGAACCATTTTCAAAATATTAATAGTCAAGTGCATGGCCTCTCATCTTTATAACTTGCTTCAATTATTTTCTAAAGTTTTTGCTGACATTTGAACAAGACTTTCTGGGATTTTCTTCCATTCTTCAATGGTTACACATTCTAATTGATGAATGTTTTTGGTGACTGACGATTTATTCGATATTTCAATTTTTGCCATATATTTTCAATAGGGTTCAAGTCAGGGCTCACTGAAAGACATGACAGAACAGTAATTCTCTTTTTCTGAAGCCACGTAGTTACTCATTTAGTTGTTTGGGATCATTATCTTGCAGGAAAGTAAATCGCCGACCTAGTTGAAGATTTTGCGCTCATAGTTGTAGATTTCTATCCAGAATTTAAGAATAGTCTGCAGATTTCATAATTCCTTTTATTACAAATTTATTGTCCAATCCCACTTGAGCTAAAATAACCCCAGAACTTCATCGAGCCGCCTCCAATTTTTAATCTTGCCACTGTATTCTTTGGGAGGAAACCCTCACATTTCTTGTGCCAAATCTCCTGTATATCATGATATTAAACATTTTCAATTTTTCTTTCATCACTACATAGTACTTGTTCCTAAAATCAATTTTCTTGTCCAAGGATGTTTTGGCAAAATTAAACCGAGCAACAATGTGGCATTGTTTGTGAAGAGGGGTACTTCATGGTCGGTTTCCATACAACCCATTTCTATTTAAACAACGTTGTATTGTGTGAGTCCTTACTCTTGTACCCATGGTAATCAAACTTTTGGCGATATCTTTCAAAACAATTCTTGAATTTATATTAATCTCGCGACACAGTTTTCGTACAGTTATCGGTGAAAATTTGGGTTTTCTTTCACGCTCAGGCAAATTCACTGTCGTGCCAAACTGTTTAAAGTTCTTTATAACGGATTGTATTTTAGATCTAGGGGGACAGCTAACCGGTTTGACAAAATTCTGTAACTATTTCCCCGACTTTAAGAATTCACGGTCTGAAATCAACTCTAAGCTCCTTTGTCTTCCCCATTATGTTGTTAACGTAAGAATAACAATGGTGACACTCTATACACTAGGAGATATCATTGCAGGAATTATCACAAATTGTCTACTGAATAAATAATCTAGAAGGCTTCACCGATAAAATAATTATGCAAATTACTTATAATTACACAATCAGTTTAAAATGATATTTTCTACGGTACGAGTAATTTTGTTTTTTCCTATTTACATAATTCGCCTGTCAAATTTGTTGTATTTAAATTATTGTTCTGAAAAGTGAGTTTTATATTCTTTACCTTTTGTGCTTATTGTTATGGTCCGGTTCCTTGTACCACGAGTGATAGTCCAAGGTAGAGCAAATAAAGAACTCGAACACGTATATGGAATAACACAGATATATTACAAACAGGAAAGAAGAAGAAAGTGTTAGTACGAACAATCAGGTTTAGTAGTAATTGTCTGAACGCGACTCTGTTTCGGACTAACTCTGACTCGACTGACTGACTCTTGACGGACTTCAATCCAGACTTCAGACTGAACAGTATTTAGTCACCCCCCACGAGGGCATCATGCGGCACAAGGCCGGTGGGCTCGGCCAAAAATATGCCCTTTGAAGCCGTATAAACGGGTTCAGAGTCGGTTTACCTCCCCGAAAGAGACTCCGCCCTTCGGCGTACCCTCGTTCGGGTTCCTCTCCGCCCGAAGGCAGAGAGTTCAACCGATCAGCCGATCAACCGGTCAGCCGGTCGCCCGACTTTGGACTGAACCCTCTGCTTCCTCTTGAGAAGCAGTATTTATTATATATGGAATAGTCCATTATGTTATTATGGGTAAGGTGCCATAACACTTATTAACCTAAAATAATCCTAGCATCATACGGGTAGTAGTTTCTGGGAAATGGATAAAATATTGAAAAAAAATTAATGAGTGTACGAATAATTTTGTCGTTG